CCCAAACATACAATGTTTTATTACCCATTTTACTGGGATACCTAACAATTTATAGGGAAATTTCATACCCATCAGAACTCTTGGGATTCTCTCAAGCTCTCTTAACCATTTTGAGGTTGGAGGAAGGTGAACCTTGGAGAGTCAGTGCTTTGGCCAAAGAAAGACACATGAAGTAGGTGGTAGAGCTGGGACTATAACCCGTGTCCCTTCTACTTCACATCCTTCTCATCGTGAAAGACGTTCACCGACATTTACTCATTGTGTGACATGATTCAATGTTGATCCAACCTAATCAATGCCTTTCAAAGTACACATTACCTGAGTAAATAATTAACACACCCAGTTAATTTAAATGGAGGTCAGGAAAGTTTGGTTTTATAATCTTGGAATTTGAATGATCTCATCTTTTTATTTTTATTACATTTTATTTATTTAATGTGTTTGTGTGTATCTGCTTGGGGGTCTACATGTGCCATAACACTAAAGTCAAGATCAGAAAACAACATATAGGAGTCCATTTCTCTCCCTCCACCATACAGATCCCTCGAATTTAATTTAATACATCAAGCTTGGGGACCAGTTGAGCCCTCTTGCCAGCCCCAATCTCAAATCTTAGTGCTTTAACCAGGACAAAGAAAGTGAATTATTTTATTGCTTGACTCACATGTTATATTGGACTATGTTAATTCAGTTATTGATGTACAATATTAAAGATATGTTGCATTTGCTTATGCTGTGGAACATTTATTTAATGATGCATAGATGTATTATTGCATGTTGCATTTATTTAACTCTGTGAAGATGTCTAAAATACCTGATTGGTGTAATAAAGAGCTGAATGGCTAATCGCCAGGCAGGAGGAGAGGTGGGGCTGGCAGGCAGAGAGAACAAATTGGAGGAGAAATCTGGGAAGAAAGATGGAGGAACAAGAAAAGAAGGGGCCAGCTATGCAGCCACACAGCCAGACATGGAATAAGAAGGAAAGAAAAGATATACAGAAATAGAGAAAGATAAAAGCCCAGAAGCAAAAGGTTGATGGAATAATTTAAGAAAAGCTGGCTAGCATGCTTTATTCAATCCCATGGAAGGCCTGCTCCTTTCTGAAGAGACAGAGGAGGAGTGGATGGGGAGGCAGGTAGATGGGAGACGGGGGAAGGGAACGGGAGGAGAGGAGGGAGAGGAAAATGTGACCAGTATGTAAAATAAATGAAAAAATATTAATTAAATAAAATTAAATTAAAAAAAAAGAAAAGCTGGTTAGAAACAATCCAAGCTAAGACTGGGCATTCATAAGTAAGAAAAAGCCTCCATGTGATTTATTTGGGAGCTGGGTGGTGAGCTCCCCAAAAGAGCCAAAAAATAAAAACAGCAACAACTTACTCTTTTCAATATTATTAATTTATTGAGAGATTAACATCTCTAATCTGCGCCTCTATCCTGCTGAGGCTTCTGATAAATCCTGTTTCTCTGTAGGATTCCGAGTCCTATGGTTGAGTAGAGGCAGAAGGGATGTCAGGGTATAGTACAAGCCTGCTTTAGTTTTTAGGAATGAGGAAGAAAGGGGTGACTTGGTGAATCAATCAATATCAGACTTTGTTTTAGAACCCATGTTTCAATTCCCAGGTCAGTGACTCTAGTGTCCAAGTCATTTCAATGAAGCCCTACATAGTGGCAAGGAATATGAACTGCAACTTGGGTAGAATCATGAATTAAGTGAACTATAACTGTCTTTTATTGAGGCTCTATCATCAAGGCTTGTCAAGAACTTGGATGCTCAAGCAATACTGCTACCTCAGCTTCTTACCAAATAGAAGTGAGACTACAGTCATGTGCCACCAAGCTTAACCTAAAATTGTCTGATGGGGGAATGTCTTTCTGTATGATTCAAATATGTGTTGCTCTGAATGGTTGATAAGTAAAGCTGTTTGGCCTATGGCAAGGCAGCTTAGAGGCAGGTGGGAAATTCAAAGAGAAGAAACAGGAAGAAGGCAGGGAGAGACACCAGTGAGCTGCCCAAGGAGCAACATGTATCGGCACACAGGTAAAGCCACGGAACACATGGTGACATATAGATTAACAGAAATGGGCTGAGTTTAACTGTAAGAACCAGTCAGTAATAAGCCTGAGCTAATGGCCAAGCAGTTTTAATTAATATAAGCCTCTGTGTGTTTACTTGGGTCTGAGAGGCTACAGACCAGGTGGGGCACAGGACAACTTCCAGTTACAATTGTCTTTTAGAAAAAGCTCTTTATTGAGATCTAAAATACATACTATAGATTGCAAACATCCTAAATGCATCAGTGAGTTCTCACAAAGTGAACATGTCTGTGAAACCAGATCAAGAAAAATCATGTTTCTAGGCCACATAAGTTCTTTATACAGCCTCCTGCTCACTACCTTTCTGGCTTACTTAAATCAATTGCTCTCATGCTTTAGATCAATGCATTTGTCCAACAGCCATGGCCATAACAAAATTGATGAGAAAGATTACTTACTAAGAAAATATAGGCTCAGTGGTGGTGGTG